TCTATTAATTTATTATCCTTATAGTGGCGGTAAATTTGGTATTCTTCCTTTATATTCATTAATTTACCTTTCTTTGCTACTTCGATCAGTTCCATGACTTGCGAAATTGGGCCGTATTGATGTTGTCTATTTAGGATATGTTGAGCATAGGCGGAGTCATTTTTATTGAATCTTATACTTCTTATATGTTCATTATAGCGTGTTACTAATTTTCTGCCTGTTTGACCTATATACACTTGTTGGCACTCCTGGCAAGTCAACTTGTATATGCCACTTTGTTCGTAAGAATTTATGTTTTGTTTGTGGTTTAGTATTTTGCCTAATGTATGATTTACTTTAAAAGCTATTCTTACGTTCATATTTTTAAATAGTTTCGTAATTCTTCTTGTGTAGCTTCCATTATATGTGTAGGATACCCATTTCTGTTCTCTTCTTTCAATGGGAGCACCCCATATCAGTATCTCAGTATCTACTGAGAAAATAACTTTGGTGCATACAAAATATATTTTGCATTTAAAACAAACTTCAGGTAAAATACATAACCTCAACAACTAAGAAAAATTCTGGAGTGCCATTTAGCTACATTTTATTATGATACTAAACTTGACAGAATAATCAATGGTGTTGCACTCTAGATACATGCTATTAAATATTTTCTGACAGAGGTGGACACTGTAATACAGACTCTCACATAGTTTTCACGGTCATTCCTTGCTGCCATTTTCTGCTCATATTCATAACTGCTTACTAACATACATAACAAGAGACTAGCATGCATTAGGGATTTATATATACTGATTAATAAAAATTTAAAATTTGGAACACTTGATAATCCTGAAAAAATTACCAGTAATTTATTTAACGAAGCCACCAGATCAGACTGTATGGTGTCAGATGACTGAATTACAGTGAATAATGAAATGGAAAGGATATGGGAGGTAGCAGAAAAGGCATAATTTAAGGTACTCTTTGCATTTGCCTTGAGGGACTGACAAAAATCATGAAGACCCTCAATCGGGACAGTGTCTTGGCAGGTTTTTGAATCAGGCACCACCTGAATTAAAGCGAGAAGCATTACTGCTTGAACCAACTTGCTTGACTAAAACTTATTGGTTCAGAACAATGCACAAGTCCAGGATGGTCTTCATCCCTTCTGAATGACAGTCAGCAGTATTATGGGAAGACTTAATATCTTGGGACGATTAATATCAGTGGAGTAGTTTAAAACATAGGTACAATGCAAGATGAACTCGCATGTCACTTAAACATCAAGATTTATACCTTATCATCAACAGCAACAAGAACGTGACCTTGTCGAGATATAGGTGGCTGTCCCTTAGTAGGAAAGATACTCCATTCCCTGGTAAGCATATCTAGCTGGTAAGTCTGACTATCGGTTACTGCTTCTACTCCCTTGGCTCCCCCACTAAATATGACAAATTTATCACCCAGAACTGCAAAATGAATACATTAAACACACATTATTTAGTTCAAATATTATGTTTTTGGACATTATCCATCAGCAACACTTCCATCAACACACCATTTTGAAAAATAAACAGGACAGAGCTTTTAGATAAAGACAGGACAATGGTTAATGTTCAAAAACATAATATTTGTACTAATGCAACACTGTCACACACTTTTAGATCTTATACACATTATTTTAACTACATAATTATCCAAAGTTAGCTAACAATAAACGATTGTGGTGTGTGACTGAAAAATATATGTCATTGGTCAGTTAAAGAAAAGTCGCCCCCATTCTTAATTAACTAAGCACTATGCCATTAAGCTGCATGGGGGAGTGGAGGTAAGCTCCACCATTCTTGGCCTTGTCACTTCATGGAGGTGAGCGGTCAGCTTCACACCCCAGCTGCTTTACCCTGGGGAAAGAGCACCTGATACCCATTAGATAGGAGTCAGGGTGGACCCCACAAACACTAGTGCTCAGCTAAAAGGCTCAAGTCAATATAAATTATGTTTCACTTAAACCCTTCTTACCAAGCACCAAGTATTTTATTAATATTATACTACAGTGCAAAATTATGTTGAAGTATGACATCATTCTAAAGAAATAAAAATTATAGATGTTCCTCCACTTAATTAAGCATCACACCATGAAGGTGTATAGCAGAATGGAAATATAAGCTCCATGAATCCTTTATCTTCACACTAAGTGGAGGTGAGTGGTCAGCTTGAGTCCTGACCACTGACCACTTCACCCACAGTATCCATTGGACAGAAGGCTGGCTGTACCCTAGAATAGACCAAGATGTGGCTGAGAGAAAAATCTCTTGCCCTGCTGGAATATAACCATGATTCCTCAGTCATCCAGCCAATAGCTTATTAACTGTATTGATTGATCTACATTAGCCCCTTACATGAAAAAAAAGAAAAAAGTATGTTGCTTCTGGAATCCAAATAAGATTCAAATACAGTGGAACCTCCATTTTGTGCATCACCATTAAGTTTCTTTTTCTCATTTAATGTTGAACTTCATTGGAACAATAATTTCAAAGTTAAATTACTCCCATTTAAGATTTTCCTCAGTTTGGTGATCAAATCCACTGGTCCCCCAAAGAAAAGTTAAATGGGGATTTCTGTGCAGAGTTGCCAACTTTAAACTAACACTTTTCTAGTGGTTGGATACCAGTTCTATAAATAAAGACAGTTATAAGAGGTTGGACACACAGTGTGAAAGACAAGAAATATGCACAAAATTTTGGTGAAGAAATATCTTGCAAATTGGTAAAATGGAATGAACAGGCACAGATGGGAGGATAATATTATGAAAGATCTCTGGGAGATAGGCTGTGAGGATGAATGGTAGATGAAAGTAGCTAAGATGCTAAATGGCAGACTTTGATGATATTGATGCTGATCTTCTGAATTTTGTTATTGGCGTCATTCATTAATGAATTACTGAACAGTGTTTTCAATACATACTTTGTGTAAAATCAGATCAGAATAACTGGATTATACTTACATGCAGAAGTTGTGTGATATGTCCGTGGTGATGGGATTTCTCCAGTCTGTGACAACTGGATCCACTGCTGACTCTCAAAGTTCAGCTCCCATAAGTCATTTTTATTTTCTTCAGTATTGGCGCCAGCAAATATCCACAGTCCTGAATAATCATATGTTTTCTCTGTCTCTGTTGTTTTAGCTACATCTTGTCTAGCTTCAGAACTGACTACTTTTATTGGAAAGAAGGCACAGTGTTCATAGCGAGCCTCAAACTCGCCTAAGACCTCAAGCTGACTGCATGTTAAATTTTGCAAGTTAAGAATCCAAACCTCATTATATAAAGAATGAGGTGTTGCACCACCAATAATGATCACCTTTTAAGGAAAAACTAAAATTAGATTGCGGATACAGTTCCTGGCCTGAAAGACAATTCTTATCTGACAAATATATGCATTCATACACGCCAAGCAGTAAATCATATGAAAATCTTCAAAACTATATCTGCAAATAATAATGACAGCAACAAATGAGGTTCATTAAGAAATTAAGGGAAGAATAAATTCACATACTACTTTTACTAACACATATACTGGGTACTTTGCATAATCTGATTTTACTAAGGAACACAACATTTCGAAGATGTATCTGCCTCCACTGAAAGTATGCAACCTGCTCTGTTGAGTCCATTAAATGAAGCTAATCTATGTTCCATCTAATGGACCCAACATAGGAGGCTTCATTTCGCATAGTGGGGGGTGGAGTCCAGTGGGGTCCACTCGGCATGGCGACCACTGATTGACCTACTGTACCTGCCCCAGGTGATTATGATGGAAAATTTGGTGGAATGAAGATTGGCAGGGGAAAGTACTCAGAGAAAACCTACCCTAGTGGCACTTTGTCCACCACAAATCCCACTTGACCAGACCTGGGTTTGACCCCAGGTTGCCGTGGTGGGAAGCCAGCGACTAACCGCTTGAACTATGGCGCGGCCTAGTAGGCTTCATACTTTCACCTGATAACGGAAGCAAGGCATGCTTCCAAACCATGATCCTTTAACCAAAATGGGGCAATGGAAAATGTTCAGTACATGTGTGAGTTCAATAGCATAGCTTTACCACAAAACTTTGGACTTGCCAGAAAATATTCATTAACTGTTATCAAATGATTTTCCAAATTAATAAATCAATTTAACAACACTGTCCACTAACTTCACTGACAAGCGGCGGTCGCTCGGTCGGTAGAGTTCGCTTGCAGACTGAAATCACAGAGTCCATACCTCACACTATAGTGTCAAATGGCAGGATGATTAGTGAATGATGAATTCAAAAGAAGCAGTTACAGAAACTACTAACTTACATATCTTTTTATACAATAATGTCATAATGATGTATGAGATTATGGTAACAGTATGCCAATAGAGTATTGCAGGTGTTGGTTGTAGGTAGTACTACATGTGCCAGTAGGTACATCTAACAATAGATACTATAGGATTCTGATGATGGTGTATAACACACAGAGATACTGGGTTTTCGGACTCTGTCCTCAGGACGGAAACAGATCCAGTTTCCGAAACATTGGGTTTTTTTTAGTTATTTAGAATCTGGACGATGGACAAAGTCCGAAAACCCAGTACATCTAACAATAGTCTGTCATCAGTTTCATTAAAAATGCTTATTTAGAAGAGTTCTTGAAACCTCCATTTTGATTTTTTTTAATATTGGATGTTATGGTAACGCTGTTAAATATGACTGGATTCTGAGTATGTGAAGCCCCTGCTTGGTACATATGAAGGGGGACCCAAAAATAACCGGAAACGACCTGTTGCACATGCATGCTTTGTAGTTACGAGTTGTGCTGCTAGGTAGTGTTAGCTGGGGGTCTCCCGTGACTGTTACTGAGCTGGCGTCAGTCTGAGTTAAGTGGTTTGTCTGTGGTGCTCTGTTGTGTGTGTTCCTGTTTCAACCCTTTGGCGATTAGTGAGATGGCCGACCAGAAGGAACAAAGAGTGTGTGTGAAATTTTGCTTTCTGTTAGGGAAAACTGCAGCCGAGACTGTTGGGATGCTTCGGCAAGCCTTTAATGATGATGCTTTGGGGAAATCACAGGTCTACGAGTGGTTTTCCCGTTTCAAATCTGGCAACATGTCAACAGAAGACATGCCACGCCCCGGGCGTCCTTCGACAGGAAGAAATGATGAAAACATTGCCAAAATCAAACGTGCAATTGATGAAGATCGTCGAAAGACCATTGACCAACTTTCTGAGGAAACGAACATCTCATGGAGCACGGTCCAGCGAATTTTAACCGAAGGTTTGCACATGAGACGGGTGTCTGCAAAATTTGTTCCTCGCTTGCTCGGAGATGACCAAAGAGAAAACCGCGTGAATGTTGGCCGCGGCTTGAAGAGTGAAGTGCAGAACGATCCAGAATTTCTTAAAAGAATTGTTCCTTCTGGTCAGCCATCTCACTAATCGCCAAAGGGTTGAAACAGGAACGCACACAACAGAGCACCACAGACAAACCACTTAACTCAGACTGACGCCAGCTCACTAACAGTCGCGGGAGACACCCAGCTAACACCACCTAGCAGCACAACTCGTAACTACAAAGCATGCGTGCACAACAGGTCTTTTCCGGTTATTTTTGGGTCCCCCCTCGTATATGGATTCATTTCCTTATGCATGTAAGATGACCTAGTGGGCACTTAAACATCTAGGGCTAAAGGACAGAATGCTGTGATGATGTGCTAATAACATTATTAGCCATTTGGTGCACTGGATGCGCCATTCACATTTTTGGCTGTTCTAGTCATTTGGTGCGCTCGGTATTAGGTTTTTATGAGGTTGCTAAAATTTAACAGAGTTAATAATAGCAGTTGAAATTATATAGCCCAGTGGCATTTAGATGGGTCAGCTGACAGCCACAGTGCAATTACATTTGACCAGAAAGGGTTAAAATTGTAAACAAAATTTATTAGATATTTGGTGAAACTCAGAATTGTGCTTTGTGGTGAGCTTTGACACTAACTTCATTAGACATTTGTTTTGTATTACCGAGATTCTCCTATTTCTATATGTGTACCATTCTATTGTTCGACTTACCTTATGGTCTGTTTTGTTATAAAGGCCAGTGTGTCCAACACGTGAATCTGGCAATTCCCCAGATGGATTAAGTTTACACCATGTGTTTATCTTGACATTGCCAGGTAAACTGTGTATAGTCATCTCACATTCACTTGGATTCATGGTGAACAGAATATTTATTATCACACTGATGTTTCTTTCATCAATACCTATGATTGAAAATTTCCATCTGTTTTAATCACTGGTGAAGCTAAAGGTACACGTTAATACACAGGGAAATGCTATATGATCGTTTGAGATATAAGCTCCCAAATGTTAAGCGTCTCACACAAAACCATAAAAATAAAATGACATGTGGAATGATCAAAAGAAATCATGGAAGATAAGTGACACTTTCCTTCCTTTACATACATCCATCCACGCTGAAAAGTTGTTGAAAATTAAAAATTAATCGGTGTGTAATTTGTGTAATTTAATGACCTGTCAAGATTTCAGTCTTCTGCAATGAAAAGACAAGTGGTTCTGCAGATATGTGTCAGTGTTATGGAGGAATCTGCTGCCTCCATCTTCAGGGTATATGTTGTGGAGGAATATGATGGAGGAGGCAGCAGGTTCCTCTGAAACACTGACACATACCTACCAAACCATGAATCTCAGTAGAACATAATCTTGATATTTACCATCATTACAACCTCACATCTTCCTCGGTGATCTCTTCCTGTGAAGTTCTGTGGTTACAGTTTTACATTACCTCAACACATAGAAATATATTTCTTACAAAGTTTACACATAGGCTTATAGCCATATAATCATATCAAATTTCACAGTCAATGAATCAGTTATACCTATCAAAGAGAAAAATAAATTATGTAAATGTTATGGTTTTACCAAACAAGATGTAGTTAGTAAATGTTTTCAACACTACATCAATTTCGCAATACTGCACAAATTTTCTGAAAAAATAATACATGCATGGCATCATGAATTATGCTGTTAATGTTGATGGTTCCAGTTCAGCTTTCTTTGCCTCTGCCCCTTTTGGAAGAGGTAAAAGATTCCATTTCAAAGAAGGGCACAAGTGAGATAGACTCTGCTACCTCTGATGAAAAGATGATGATTATTATCAGAGGGCCTAGGCCCTATATGTAACCTGAACCATGGTTATGGCCCAGTATTCTTAAAGTTCACAAGTTTTAGACTTCAAAGAGAGGAGGGATGGGATGTGGAATTTTCTTTGCTGTATCCAGATGGTCTCAAATCTAAGACCCATAGGACAGAAGTCAGTATCCCTATGCCACCACGTCCAGTTGAGGAATTTCATTTTGGCAGGTGTGATGACAAATTTTTCTTTGGTGTCGCCCACATTTCATTCTGAATATAAAATGTGTTACGGGTGTTGATATTGTAGCATGTAGACCTGTTACTGGGTAACTGTCATGAAATGACATCCGTTGCTAGGGCAGTGGATTCTTAACAAATGGAGTTATCTAACTTAATGCTGGCTGATGCAAACACATTCCCACAGAAACGGTTAGCATATGAGAATGAACAGTGTTGTCTAGGCGGTTCATGCTGAGGAGTTATAAAAATGACAACTGGGGCAGTCAAGTCAGTTCTGTATGGGAGGCTGTGAAGAAAAGGGACAGTTAGAAGGGAACTGCCATTCAGAGAGGACTTGAGTGTAGAAGCTGAAGAATCTCCATTGTTAGAAGCCATTACCAGGAAATGGCTGGTGAAGACACAGCAGGCTGGAAATGCTTAGTGGGTGCCGTGGTGAGTTGTGAATTGTGGAGATTAGTGGTGGTGCTCTAACTGCTCATAGTTCTGAGATGTGTGTATAAGTGGTCAATAAATCCAATATATAATCCAAAAACCTGTCTATAATCACACACACACACACATGACGTTATACTTTTCTGAACTTCTTATGATTAATATTATTTTAAGATTCATTTGAAGGGGACTGTTGTCTGGGATATGACTCCATGTAGTCTGGTAGAAGTTTACTGATGTTTTGGATAAGCATACATACAACAAGAACCTGCTCATTTTGTGGCTATAAAGATGGAGGAAATAGCATTCCTCTGAAACACTAATAAACTTCTAACAGAACATGCTGCATCATATTCCACATGGAATACCTTTTAGCATCCTACAGAGTTACCACCATACATATCTAAATTTCACATAAGGTATTTTGATCACATATATTTTTTCTTCATATTCATAAAAAACAAAAGTATGACTGGTAAATGAATCAGTAGGATTGTAGTCGCCTTGTTTATGGAACCCTGTAGTTTGGTAGGTGGTTACCAATGCTTTGGGGAAACATGTTACCTTTATCTTCAGGATGGATGCCACAGATGGTCTGAAACACGGGAAACCACCTATCACACTACAGGGTGTCATACCAAGATGAAAAAAGTGTCTAATATCTGACATATCTTGGACACACAACAGGAAATAAGTACAATATTAAACACCCCCATATTATAAAAAAAAAGCCCAGTCAATAAAATGATTACCACATTCAGGGATCTTGAAAGAACTTTAATTTATTTATTATTACAACAGCATGAAAGATAAAATTCACAAAACCTGTATAAATATGAGGTAACATTCAATAATCAACAAATTATCCAGCAGGTACCTCACAAAATGACTAGACCCATTTATACAGCATGACATAAAGTATATAACTGCAATGCTGCTAAACTATAAAGCATATCACTTAACACTCTGAAGCCTGAAATTAATCTAAATAATATTTTAAAAATCCAGTTCCTATGTCACACAAACACACTGTATTATAATCATGAAGACCAATCAGTCAGTACTCTTTATGGAAATAATCAGTGTTTTATGATAATCATACAGAACTGGTAAAATACACTGTATGGGCAAAATGACGAATTTTTACACATTATAGCAGATTTTGTGTGTGCACATGCATGTGTAGTAAGCTCTAAGCTTTAATATATCAACTACTAGACAGCACCAGAGTTCATACATTTACAGGCACAATGTGTGATGTCTTTACATAACATTTTTATGAAGGCAGCATTCATATTAACATACTACTAATAGAAGATGTAACAGGGAATGAATTCTTGACATAATTTTACTGCCAAGTTAATCACGGGCATAGTCACAGCCTTCTGAAGTACAAAAATATTAAAGCAGTTCACAATCCCTTCAGGTACATCAATAATGTGCAAAGGCTGAGACCCAGGTTTGTACATTTGAAATTGTGGCATTGATTTTCCATAGAAATTCTGTTTGTAGAAATTTACAATTCTTATGTTCTCAGCCTGTAATTATAGTCCTGTTCGAGGAAATGTCAAGTCTAAAGCTGTTCTTTCTGTCTCTGAATACTGTTTACCTAATGAAACAACTGAATTTGTTTCTGCATGAACTCACTTTAATGAACATTAGCATTTAAATACCTCAATTAATACAAGGGGATCAGTTCAGCATCAATGCAAGGCAACCACTGCTTCACTCATTCACACTAAAAATACTGGGAAATGACTAAAAACTCAGCCTTTATCTTTAACAGGCTCAAATGAGGCAAAATATAATGAAATACCAAACTCAGAACATGCGAGTCACAGCATACATTCTGCACCAGATATTATTTAATCAGGAACTCAAAATACATATCACATTTATGAAGGTTAATATCTTCTGTTATCAGCCGGTGTAGTAACTAAGGTATGGGCTAGATGACCAAGGAACTGGGACTCAAATCTCAGCATGAGAAAGAGTTTTTTCTCTTTTCCACAGCATTCAGACCAGCTCTAGGGCCTACCCAGCCTCCTGGAGAAAGTGTACTGGGGGCTGTTTTCAAAGGTGTCAAGCAGATGGGGCATGAAGCTCACCACTAACCTCTCACTAGTGCTGTGGTTAAGAATGTGTGGATCTATACCTCTACTCCCTCCACATATCTTTATGGTGCAATGCTTAATTAATTAAGCACAGGGACAACTTTATCTTACTTTACTATCTTCTGGGATATCATGCAGTCTGGCAGAAAGGTGTCATATTTCAGAGTACCCTGCAGATGGAGGCAGAAGGTTCCGCTGAAATGTTGATACCTCTGTACGGGACTACACAGCATCATATATCGGAAAAAGCAATATTCACTCTCACAACTGTGAAAACTTCAAATGTCACATAAATCATAGTTACTTCAAATAAAACCCTTAATGATGATGAGTTCATTTCATTACTGTATAAACCATGTACCCAACAAACAATGGACTCCTGAGTAAAGTAAACAGGAAATCTCTCAATGCCACTTACATTATTCTTATGTCTTCCATTCATGTTATGTTCATTATACATGCCACTCCCGTATTATCCATTTACAGAACCATTCTCCAACCCAACATATTTTTTCACCACAATCACCACCACCACCACCACCAACACCACCATCACCGTCACTAGACAGATTGCTTGTACAAATATTTGTATCTGTGAAATGTACACTAACCCATCACCAAAACATATCACAGGAGCACACATACTTGGGACTCGATGAGTTTCTGGTCAGAAAGTAGTGATTCGTCTGGCTTGCGAACTATGACTGAACTGTTGCCATTGTTACTGTATTCATAACTTCGACGACTTGTGCCAAATGTCAGGAAGTTTGTAAGGTGTTTATTTTGCTGTTGTTCCTGGCAATCAGGTAATGGCTTTAGTTGATACATACACTAACAACACATAAAGTGCACCACAAATATGTAAAATAGTTACCAAGAAGAATTATGTTAGGGATGAACAGTGAGTAAAAATTTAATGATCAGAGGGCTCTGGGTTTCCACCCAGCTACTGCCACAAATGACCTCAAGATGGAAACAGAATCAACTCCCAAAACACTGGATATATCTATATAAATAAAAATGTAAATGTTCGTTTGTTAGCCCTTGAAAATCTCCGAAAGTTCTTCACCGATTGCTTCAAAATTTTGATACAACGTTGCATTCCAATGCGCGCGTGTTTTTATATATCTACTAGCTGTACCCGGCCACGCATGAATCTGGAAAGTATACTTCCATGGAAACGCAATAACAGTTGCATAGGAATTGCCAAAACAACAAACACGTTTCCCTGGAGATTAAAGGATAAGAGGTTCCATTGCGTAACAATGGGTGAAACCAGAAAGTATACTTCCATGGAAATGCAATAACAGTGGGCCGTTGCATAGGGATTGCCGAAACAACAAACGCGTTTCCCTGGAGATGAGAGGATAAGAGGTTCCGTTGTGTAACAACGGATGAAACCAAACACTTCTACAAGGTGTTCTGTGCTAGCATTTCCTAAGCAACAGATGAAACTAACTATTCGATAAGGTATTCCCTACCCCGTCCGAACGCTGGCTATATGTATGAGAGAGTGTAGCTCTGGCAACTGTTCAGTATCACGAGTGTCTCGAGTATCACGAGGTCACAAGTATCACAAGAGATTCCGAGTGAAATCACAGCAGAGATCCTGAGTTTGCACTCAGAGTTTTGGATTCGACTCTGGCAGCGTTTCCCCGGTGATAGACAACAGAAGGCTAATTGTATAGCATCCGCCGAGGTATAAATAGTCCAGCTTTATTGTTCATTGTTTTTCATTTCGTTTTCTTAACTGTTCTCCTTATTCTTCAGTGCAGTTGGCAGTGGGATTGAGCTGTGTCGATTGATCTGCGTTTGAATTGAAATATTTCGTTAGTATTTTTTTTTTCTTTGCTTTCCAGTTTGTGTTCTTTCCTTTTTTAATGTTTTGCAATTTTATATGTTTTTGTTATAACTTTCTTTCTTCTTCTTCTTCAGTGCAACCGATCTGCTTTAGTTCATCCAAATAATGCCTCATGGAAGATCAAACTTAGGTCGTCATACTCGCGGAGCGGAAGCAAGGCATCAAGTAATTGCAAATCAAACTGGGGAAGAACGGGCATCAGCGAACGAGCGATTGAGACAAAGAATGGCTCAAATACGTGCTGAGGAAGCAGCAGAGCAACGTGCAGCCAGACTTGAGAATGTCTCAGGGCAGATGCCGAGGGATACAAAAGAAAGTCTGGAAGTAACCGCCGAAGGAGTCAGTCTTGGGATAGCTACCGCTGAATATAAACAGTTTCGATTTCTTTTCATTTGGATTTAATTATTTAGTGTGACATTGCGTTGGAATTGGGCTGTGTCATTTACCATAGAGTTCATTTAGTGAGTATAGTTTATTTTTCATTGTTTTTCATTTCGTTTTCTTAACTGTTTTCCTTATTTTTCAGTGCAATTGGCGGTGGGATTGAGCTGTATCGATGGATCTGCGTTTGAACTGAAATATTTCGTTAGACTGAGCCACAGCAACATGTGGCCGGGTACAGCTAGTAAAATATACATCCAAAAAGAGCAGACTACGTCCTATGAAATTCATTGTAATTCTCTTATCACCTTGTAGACATTTATGCTACTGTGGCTTTCAAATGAACTTCAATTTTTGTAAAATGCATACATTCATCACCCCAAGACAGCCATCATATCACATCTAGTTCACTTCATTCAATTTAACTCCCTACAGCTAATTTTAATACTACACACAATATTAATCAGATAGTTTGTTAAAAAACACCAGTCCTTCCAACCTGAATTTATTTGCTGTTTGAGAAAATCAGTGTACCAAACCTTTATCTGTCACTCATAAACTGTTACAGCTATGTATATTAATTGTTTCTCTGTAATATAAATCATAATATGTAATTATATAAAACTTATATATAAATAAATAATTATTATAATATAATATAAATGTAAATAATCACATTCTGTGATGACATGTGGAATTATCTTCTGGGGCCGTTCTTCATACATGACAAGACTTTTTATGATCCAAAAGAAAGTTTTATAAAGTTGGGATTAAAGAAAAGAGATTCATGTAGAGACTCTTTCAAGGAAATGAAAATTCTGCCTTTGTGTTCGCAATACATATATTCCTTAATGCAACACACTATAAATAACATGCATTTGTTTACAAGAAATACGGAGGTTCATAATATTGGTACCAGACAGAATGTTAACCTATTTCCCCCGAGTACTTCTCTTACTAAAGTTCAAAAGGGTGCATATTATTCTGGTATAAAAATCTTCAATCATCTGCCTAAAGAGCTGAAACAATTATCTAATAACCAGAAATCCTTTGAATGTGCCCTAAAAAGATTTTTACATGCTAACTCTTTTTATGCATTAAATGAGTATTTTAATTACAAATGTACATAAATTTGAATGCTTAATGTCACATTTTAATATAGTTAGTATGGGAGATGTGAGGGGTTGTATTGTGGTTACTAGTGACTTATGTCTGTTAATCAGGATATTATCTTTTTGCCTCATATTGTTGTATGTGTTAGACAGTTAATGTGGGTGATCTTGGTTGTGTGGTTTGTGTTACTTTGTGTATGTGTTTGATGACTATTTTCGCATCCTGGGTCTGTTCCCTGTATAGATGTTTATGGAAAGTGGAGGATGTGTATGTATGTATGTATATGATGAGTCCTGTATCAACATTTTTTGATTTATGGGAAAATGAAATAAAGAAAGCATTTAACTATTTGGGTAATCTGAGTGAAATTTTATTAATTCTAAGTTTTTATAGTAATGCACTTTTAAAATTATGTTTAGTAATCACAATTGTAATAAGCTTCTTGTTTTTGTTTTTTTTTTCTATTGCCTATGTTACTTGACTAGTGTGTGTATTATTATTATTATTATTATTGTTATTATTTTAGTTGTGTGACTTATGTAATTTATTACATGTATACATCTATTATCAAAGGGACTATTTCCACATCTTAGGTTTTTTGCCTGTATAGATATATGGAAAATAAAGGAAATGAATAAATGAATGAATGAATGAATGAATGAATGACCACTGTCTTCTGGGACATGACACTGTATAGTCTTGTACATTTCTACCAGACTACAAGGTGTTACGTCCCAAGAGACAGAACTTCATACTCAGTGCAAAGATAACCTCAAATTTCAAACAGAAGCTGCAATTAAAATTACTGTCTTCATGAATGAGATGTGTAGTCTAGTAGAAAAGTAGTAATATTCTGAACAAACTCCTGCCTCTAGAATCAGGGTAAAATTTCTAACCTTATTCTATTTTTAAGCAATTAAAAACAAAATTACTGCACATTTTACTAATATATGTACTCTGTACAAAAACATGTACTTAATGGGCAATTTATGGGATTTTCAAGGGTAAATCTGACTATATGTGATTTTTGGTTTAGAATGTAATCCCAGCATAAGATGCAACTACAATGTTGTTTCCATTTGTATGGAAGATGTAGTTTGGTATATTGGTACCAACATTTCAGGTGAACCTGTTGCCTCCATCTTCCCTGATGATAAGGACAAGAAGAAGTTCTTCCAAAATGTTCTTACACCATGCACACCATTTATTAGAGAGTATTAATTCAGCAATTCATCTTCATTCCGTATTACACGTATCTATGATATCATATGTTTCTGAAAGGTTAACATTGACTAAAACACACTGAAACAGACTGCATTTTATAAAGAAGGATTTTATGACCTTCAGACCACAGAAAAACAAAGGAACAAGAGTCATGGCAAATGAAATTTCATGGTTTCTAATTTGCATTAAATACTGTTAGGATAAAGATTACTGTTTTCTGGGATGTGATACCATGCAGTCTGGTAGATGGTCACTGCTGTGGCATCTCAGGGGGAGACACCACTTGATGGAAGTGGACACAGATGTAAGGATAACATTAAGATGCAGCTGAGGAAGATGTGAACAAGTTTAAATGGCCCAGGACAGAATCTACTGGTGGCTTTCATAACCACAGTGATGACTTCCATAAAAACAAAGAATTTCATGAATGACACAAAAAATATGAACTCTTCAAGGAAGACTCTGCACAATGAACTCATGGTCTTATGAACAATACCTTGGCCTGTGACATGGATGCTGATAATAAACAATAAATCCTATATATGTAGTGTGGATGGGTGTGGACTGTACTTGTCTGGTTCAGCATATAGTGTCTATGCATCATATGCATTCACATTTGTTTAAAATAAAAATAACAGACTGCTAGTCTAATATAAAAGTACCTTGAAAATGACAAGGGATGTATCTTCATAACGCTTCTTGATGTCACTTAGTGATTCAGCCACCAGGGTGCGGCCCTCCTGCATTGAGCAACTAAGATTCCTGCAAGTGAGTGAAATAAATGACATCAACAGTGCTATTAAACTGAACTGGTGCAATAGAGGACTTTGCTCAACAAACCTACACAAGTAGTTACTATAGGATTCTGACGATGGTGTATAACACACTGATATATTGGGTTTTTGGACTTTAACCATCGTCCTCGTTTTTAAGATAACTAATAAAAACACGACGCTTCGGAAACTGGATCTGTTTCCATCCTTCACCTGAGGATGGAAACAGATCCAGTTTCCGAAACGTCGTGTTTTTATTAGTTATCTTAAAAACCAGGACGATGGATAAAGTCCAAAAACCCAATATATCAGAAACCTACACAAGTCTTGCTGTTCTCATGACAGTGACTATGAACATTGCTCTTCTGGGATGACATTGTGTACTAGTCTGGTAGATTGTTACCAATATTTCAGTGGAACACACAGCCCTCATCTTAAGGGCAGCAACATGAATCTTCTGTCCTTAAGATGGACACAGCAATTTCCTCCAAAACACTGCTCATGAACTATATGAACTATCAGCATAAATCACATCACATCCCAGAAGACAGCAATCTTCAAATTCAAATAAAAATTATGATTAAAATCTGTTATGACATATTGTACCTGTAACCTGATAAGTTAACTGGCGATTTTTCACTGCCCTGAAAGTTGACTATCAACACCCTCTGAAGTAATGCAGCTCATTGAAGCTCACCAATATGCTAAAATGACTAGAATATAGCATGGAGATTTATGTATCAAATTCGGGGATCTACAATTATGAACAATGCTGCCATTTCCTCCCAGCTGAATACATTACAGTGCTTATATTGGTTAATACAGATCATAAACCCTTTAATGTTACACATTATGTACGTGTATGTGTCTGTAGCAAGCAGGCTCAAGTGGTAAAGCAGGTGACCAGTCAGTATCTCAGCCAGAACCATCCTGGCACATTCTTCCTTCCACATTGTTTCCAATTCATCTTCCGGTAATTATCATACTATCACGTGTATGAGTGACTATAGATGGGCTTTGGATTGTAATTTGATTTATTATGATTTTTTTATTGCTAGTGGGGTGGGAGTAAGTCCCTTGTACTGCGGCCACTTGTGGCCTATTGTACCAGCCCCAGATGATAGGTGAGGGTGACTGTGGAACAATTGGTGGAATGAAGATTGGCAGGGGAAACTGAAATACTGAGAGAAAACGTGCACCAGCGCCACTTTGTCCACCACAAATCCCACTTGACCAGACCCGGGATCGAACGCGGGGTGCCGCAGTGGGAAGCCAGAAACTAACTGCTTGAGCTATGACACGGCCCATTCATTATGATGGTTCTATCACTAATTCACACACTCTGAAGTTCATTACAACACATATTAAGTCTTCTCAGTTTATTTTTGCTAGCCATTTCCTGGTAACAGATCCTAACAATGTCCTCTGCTTACATCCTTACCAGCTGGCGAATGTCTCACAACTGACTAAACTCCATCCTTGTCTGGCCTATAACACTCAGCACTATAACACAGAAAACACTGATCCTCGTTGTTGTAGTTCAGTTGCTGCTTATTGGGAATCTGTTGCCTAGCAGTGGGTGTTGTTTACCAAGTCATTACTTAGCAAGGGGTCTACATGCTACCACACTACTCAATGCTGTATATCAGAAAATTACATACATAGCTCTGATGTTCAGTAAGACTAGGTTTCCCTGTACTACATTATTTAATTTTACTAATAAATAATTATGACTGGAGTTGCCAGCACTAAACTGATCCATGTAACAGGCTACTAAAAACCTAATAAACAATACAAAAACCGACGGAAAATAAAGAGAGGGTCTATTCATCAACAGGACTGGAAAACACTTAGGAGAAGGTTGAAAGAATAAAACATGTTCTTTTTGCTAATATATTTTCGAATTCCTGTACACAAGGTATATATTATAAAAATATACAAGCATGTTATTCATGTTACAGTGTTACTGTACCATATGAGGTTCCACAAGCAGACAACTGTTTAACATACACAACCTCTGTGAATTATATTCAAAAACATTACTAATTCCATTCACTGAATATTACTGTAATATGAAAGAAAAGTATAATGCCAACTTCAAAAGTTGTGAGAGTTTTTAGCTAATAAACAAATAACTGTGCTGGAACACTCTCCTTATTCACCAGCTCTAACCCACAATGACTGTTCACAATGATAAAGGAAATATTGAAAGGAAGGCATTTTGATAACATTGATGACATCAGGTGTAATTTGGCAGCAGTTCTGAAGGCCATTCCACAAAATAAGTTCAAAAACTGTTAAGGGTGGTCTAGGTGCATAGCTTCCCAAGGCGAGTACTTTGAAGGCGACCACAGTGATATTCAGCAGTGATGTATGTAGCAGTTTTACCACAACGAGTTCACAGACTTTACTGTGAGACCACTCATAATCGTTTCAGAGGAACATGCTGCCTCCACCCTCAGGGTCAGAACCCAGATGACCATAATTTTAAACAAAATATTTTTTTCTGATAATAGCTTGTGTGGATTGGATAGATCTGGCTCAGGACAGGGACCAGTGGAGGGCTCTTGTGAACACAGTAGTGGACCTTCCGGTTCCATAAAATTCTGGGAAATTCTTGAGTAGCTGCAGAATTGGCAGCTCCTCAAGAAGGGCTCAGCTCCATGAGTAATTAAGTAATAGCTTTTGTGAGTATATCCACTAGAAGTTTATGTATATTCTGATAAATTCACATTCCCAATAGCAAATATCATAAATGTCGTTCATTATATTCTAAACTCTCTGTTACAGAAAATAGGAACAGATTATGAATGTGGATTCTCTTTATGCATCGAAAACCTCAAAGTCGAAAGGTAGAATATAAAAAACAAATATGTTTATTTCATATAGCTGAATCCAACATACTGTTCCCATTACAATGAACTATGCCACTGAATTATGACATACCAGTTAACACTGCACCCTAGATTTAATTTGCCCTGTTTTAAGAGACTAGGAAATTGAAATTATTGGTCAAAAAATTACTAAGAAACGTTTTCCATGCCTCCGTAAAAACATATATCATTTAGGAATTAATAAACTGGGGAGAGATGGACTTATTCATTCACCTACTGAAAAAAAAAAGGCCAAGTTCCACACATTCTCCTCTTTACTGGTTACTATATGTACCACCTGCTTTAATGTACTAAATCTGTTCATTCTACCCACAGAGTATATTTGTGTGTTTTGACTGGTTCTCACAATAAACAGTGATTATTTGGCTAACAACATTAATCGGTTATTTTTGCAGTGGAGATGTAATGTTTTTCCTGTGATGTACAAACTGAATTTTTATATAATTCAGAAAAAACTCAGTCTTTAAAGGGTTAATATATTTCCAGCAAATCATGATGAATTCAAAATATGGCAATGATTCAGAACTTAAGTTTTTTATAATTTCAAAAAGGCCCACTGAGTAATTGTGAAAAGAGCATTAGAAATGGGGTGGGGGTGGAGGGTGTGGGATTATAACTAAAAACCTGAAAAATTACAAAGTTTTAACAAAGAAATTTCATGTCAGAACTGAACTGATATTATTTATTATAAAAAAGTACACATTACTTAATCAAAGTGACCATACTGCACGAATTCTGAGGGTTTCACAGTTGTAAATACAATCACCATAAGGTTTTGCAACGTGACATGGTGCAGTCTGGTAGGTGGTTATCAATACTTTAGACCAAAGGTCTCCAAACTACAGCCCGCGACATGATTTTATCCAGCCCGCGAAAGAATTGTGCAGAAATGCGCCAACTGAACTAATGTTCCAATGAGTACTGGTAAATGTGATTCCGAGCTTAGTGACCTGACATATTATATTGCAGTTCGATGGCTTAGCTGTGGAAAGGTTCTTTTGCGCTTCTTTCAGCTCAGGAATGAAATTGATATATTTCTTACCAAAAAAAAAAATCCATCACGAACCACTTTTATCAGATACCGAGTGGCTTTGGAAATTAGCATTTTTTGTTGATCTGGTGAACCATATGAACCATTTGAATTTAAAGTTGCAGGGTGAAAATAACTTAGTCTGTGATTTATTTGCACTTATCAAGGCATTCAGAGCAGTTGATACTTCTGGAAAGCCAAGTGAAAAATTGTAACTTTGTTCATATGCTATACAGTGCAGAGTTGCATAAAAAGGGTGAAGCAGAATTTCCTTCGTTTGAAAATTTAGTAATTTCAAGTTTGAAAGAACAATTTCGGAAGCGATTTGCTGATTTGGATTCCAGTGCTCAGGAAATTAGATTGTTTCAAAATCTGTTCGACTGTGATGCTGCAGATGTCCCATGTCAAATTCAAATGGAAATTAGTGAACTTCAGGAAAATTATCATATTAAAGACAAATATAAGGAAGGAAATTTGATTGAATTTTATAAATTTCTGAACACTGAGCAATTTCCAAATTTAAAGAAATTTGCTTGTAAATTTATCTCCATTTTTCGGACGGCATATCTGTGTGAACAAACTTTTTCCCAGACGAAGTACATCAAGTCGAAATACAGGGCAAATTTATCCAATGAACATTTAAAGTCACTGCTTGAGATTAGCATTTCAAAATTTGAACCTCAATTTAATCAGATTTTAAGAATGCAAAAAGAGTTCCATCATTCACATTAATTGTTTTATTATAATTTGTGATGAAAATATGAGCATTTGCTGCTGTCTATTGTCATTAATATATGTTAATTTATTCTCGTGTACTTTGTATTTAGTTTATGAAATTCTGTGCTTTCAATAAAACTATATACCTAGAGTTATTAATTTCTCATTTTATCCGGCCCGTTGAAAGTGCTGAATTACCTGATGTGGCCTGCGGTTTGAAAAGCTTGGAGACCCCTGCTTTAGATGAACATATTGCCTTCATTTTCAGGGTAGTGTCTACCTTATAGATGGAGACACATGTTCTCCTCAGACAAGTATCCATTTACCAAACTATGCCTCATCACACCC